TACATGGGCGCGTTTGGCCACAAGGCGAAGCGACCAACAACCATAGCGACGACCTACCCGGCCCTGATCCAGATCGACAAGAACTACGATTTCCATGATGGTTGCGTTCCACCCTCTTTGTTGACAAAGTCACAGTTAAGGCAATGGCCAAGGGGCTTCAAGGAATTGGTTGCAGACTGCATCAAGGATTACCACTCTGGAAGTCTCTTGGATGAGGAGGAGCTGGTGAACTCGGGCGTGCAGCTCAACAAACTTACGAAGGAGCAACGGGAGTCGCGGCGGCGACACCTACTCAACGATCACCAACCATATCGGGCAGATTGCTCGGTTTGCATCAATGCTCAGGCCACCGGTTACAAACACAGAAGGCGAAAGCACCCTACGATGTACACTATGGCTCTGGACCTAGCAGGCCCATTCAAACAGAGGGGACGAGACATGGAGCATGAAGATTGCAAGTACATAATGGTTGCTGCCTACCGATGCCCCCGGGAGTATCTGAGCGCTATGGCCATCGAGGAGCTGGATAGAGATCTTTACGTTCCCGATGATCCAGGTGAAGTGGAAGGTGAAGACCCAATGGAAATCCTCCCGGAACGACCAAGTAAGGATTGCCCGGAAGAACATGCAAGTGAAGAAGATGAGCCCCATCCTCCTATGGGACCAGAAACTCTTGATGAAGCTGTGGAAGGTTTGAGCCAACAGGAGGAGTGGGCCACCATCTACGTGACCAGGCCTTTGAGAGGAAGGACAAATCACTACGTGGTCCAGGCCGCCAAGGAGATCATGTTACAGTTGAAACAGACGGGACTTCATGTGGAAACCATCCACACGGACAGGGCCCGGGAGTTCAAGGCCAAAGCGTTTAAGGACTGGACCTCCGACGTGAAGGTCAGACATACAAAGACAGCGGGAGCGGACCCTTCTGGGAATAGCTCTGCTGAGTTGGGCATCAAGTGGGCGAAGGCACGAGTTCGAGCTCTTCTCGGTGCCGCAAAAGCCCCAGCTCGTGAGTGGCCAATGGCGATCCAGCATGCTTCTGCGGCTTTGTGGTCCAAGGCTTTTCCAGACAGCTCATGGACCAACCCCCCGGCTACAGCGTTTGGAAACGAAGTGTGGTTTCGGTCAAAGGGCTATCAGGGGAAGAAGGAGAAGAAGCATGAAGCTGCAGGAGCGCGTTGGAAGAAGGGCTACTACATGGGGCCTTCAGTGGATGTGAAAAGAGGCCATCTGTTGGCTCGTGAAGATGGAGGACTTACCGTCGCGAAGAGCGTGAAGTTTGGTGTGGTGGAACCCGACAAAGAGCTGAAGGGCATCCTACAACCTGCCATAGGTGAAGGGCTTCCAGATGAAATGTTGATCAACGTGGAGCCTCAAACCAAAAAGGAACTTAAGGATGAGATTGAGTTCAGGGCCACAAAGCTGAGCAATGAGAAGAATTATGACATTGGCTAGGTAGTTACTCTATACCGTCTTCTGGAGAACCTGGGCCAGCCCGACTCAAGGATTGACAAGAAGGCTCCAATGACGTCCTGGTATACTGGTGCTTTTGTTCATGGGGGCGTGGCTGGAACGAGGGCTAATATGAAAGAGCTTCCCAACACAACGAAGTACTTGACCGAGTTTGCTAAGCACCACTGTGGAGAGGTAAAGTTCTCGGCGTTGGGGATGGCAAAGAATGCTCAGCTTGGCCTTCACCGGGACTCCCATAACTATGAGTTTTCCAAGAACTATGTGCTGCCTCTTCAACAATTTGATCAAGGATCTCTATGGGTTCAAGATGATGAAGTTGAAAATTCACAGTGTGTGGAAAAGAGGTTGCCGAATGACAAGGTGATCAAGGGACGATGCTTGGATATGCAACGGGGAAAGATGGTGAGTTTTAGCCCGCGCTTATGGCATGAAGTTCAACCTTGGAGTGGCGAAAGATTGGTTATGTTGCTTTTCACCCCCAGGGCCACAAAGCTTCAACCAGATGGAGTAGAACTTCTTACTGAAGCTGGCTTCAATGTCGATCCTGAAGCGCTGGCAGCAAGTGAAGAGGAGGAGCATGAAGAAGAAGGTGAAAGTGATGGTCTTTCTGCGTTCCCAAGGGCAAAGGTGAAAATGATGGTTTCCGAGCCCTTGACTGAGGTTGGCTATGCCTTTGTTGAGTGTGAAGACCTGGAGGAACCACCAGTGAACCCCTTGGATCCTTGTGTTTCCCTTCGAGATGACCCTGGCTTTCACAAAGACAAGGAAGCCAATGCCTATGTGAAAAAGATGGTCAAAAAGGCAGAAGTACAGTATACACAGGGCATTGAGCAAATCCTTGCAGACATTGAGGCCAAGGGTGCACAGTTGGAGGTGACCCACACCGTGAGTTTGGCGGACGTCAAGAAGGAGATCGAAAAATGGAAGCCCTCAGCCCTGAAGGAGTTCAAGAACTTAACAGAGAACAAGAAAGCCTTCTCTGTAAAAAAGAGGCATGAGCTTCCCCTGAACTGCCGGATAGTTCCTTGCAAGGGCGTCTACACCGTGAAGCCGGACAAAGCAGCTCCTGGGTATAGGAGAAAGACACGGTTTGTGGCTTGTGGGAACCATGTCCCGGAGGAGTCAATTTGCCTGGACCTCTTTGCAAGCGGTTTGGATGCTACTTCATTGAGGACGATGCTGGCGTTCAATGCAAGGAGACCTTGGCGGATAGGAACTACAGATGTCAGACAGGCTTTTGTCCTTGCAGGATGGCAGGGAGAGCCAGTGGCATTGGAACCACCGGCCATAGCCTATGCTTTGGGACTTGCTGTCCCGGGGGACATGTGGTACGTCGAGAAGGCTCTCTACGGTTTGAGGGAGTCTCCAGCCCTTTGGTCAAGATTCCGGGATGAACAGCTGAAACAGGCTAGATGGCAGATGATCATCGAGGGCAAGTCCGTCACGATGAAGCTGGAGCAGTTGGTTTCAGATAATCAAGTATGGAAGATTGTCCAAGAAAACGGTGAAGGAGAAGTTCAAGGATACGTGTTGATCTATATTGATGACCTTCTCATCAACGCGCAGGAGGAGGCTATGAACAGTTTCTTTCAATGGGTGTCCAACAAGTGGGAGGTTGAAGATCTGGACGTCTTGGACTATGATCACCCTATTCGATTCCTGGGCATGGAGCTACATCGGAGTTGGCTCAGGAAGGCTTCGTGAATGAGATCTTACGGGCGCATCACCACAACGGTGGACGGTCCCAATCGCAGGGACCACGGGAGACTTTACTCCTCAGCGACGAGGAGGAGCGGGCCTTGATTGATGCAGAGCCTGTGACTGTGGACCAGAAGAATCCCGCGCTCAAGGAGGCGCAAAGAAGAGTTGGGGAGCTTCTCTGGCTCATGGGAAGGACAAGACCGGATCTTCAACACGCGGTCTCAATTATGGCTGCAAGATTGACAAGGTGCCCTGAGATGGTGAACAAGCTCGGTGAAAGACTTCTGGACTACTTGAACGAGACCAAGTTCTACCGCCTGGGACTGACTCAGGACAATGATGAGGTCATGGGAGAGCTGAACGTGTACACAGACAGCTCCTTTGCACCAAGTGGTGGACGTTCACAAGGAGCAGCTGTGGTTTTTCTAGGATCAAGTCCTTTGGTTTGGAGGGCGGGTAGACAGCAGCTAGTTACGCTGTCGACCGCTGAATCCGAGCTGCTGGAGACTGTGGAAGGAACGCAGCTGGGACTTTCAACGAGAGGTCTCATTTCCGAGGTCATGGGCAAGGAGCTTCCAATCACAGTATGGGTAGACAACAGTGCAGCAGTTTCCCTCCTCACAACAAGTTCGGGCTCCCGGCGTACTCGTCATCTACGACTTCGATCAAATTGGGTGCGAGAGATGAACCAGAAATCCGAGTTGGCCATAAAGTTCACCCCGGGCGAGTTTCAGAGGGCAGACTTAGGAACGAAGCCGTTTACAAGGGAGAGGTTGAAGCAGTTGGTCAAAATGTGGAACATCAACGACAGAAGAGAAGCTTCGGAAGGCAAGAACGTGAAGAGCTTGAATGTGCAAGCTTTGTGGCTACAACGTCTACTTCTACTTTGTCAAGTGTGTGGTTCGGCAGCTCAGAAACAGGACATCAAAGCTGAGATCCCTTGGGATTTATATTTGGCGATATTGGCCCTTGCTGTTGCTGTTATTGGTTTGTGGGAAGGACTCAAACATTGTTGCGGCCCGAAAGGCGCGAAAGTGAAAGCCCTGAAGGCAATGGCAACCTCAGCACACCAAGGGAAGTTAACCCGTGTTGAGTTGAAGGAGCTTCAAATGCTCATGACCTTTGAACCACGCGATCTAACTGAAGAGCAGAAGGAAAGACTATACGATTTGAAGGAGAAGTTTGACAACACAATGCCCTCCGGATGCTCTCCCGTTCCGAGATTCCCGACCGATGAACCTCCTCTACCACCACCTCCTGAGCCACCTTCCTCGTCTTCGGGAACGAGGAATAAGCAACCCAAGAAAAAGGAGATGAAGGACCAGTCCACTCAAGCGGACTATGAACCCGCTTGTACCAGGGTGCCTCCTGCACCTCCACCGACCAGGGAAATCATTGCGGGTCCCTACTAACAGGTTCCTGGCAGAGACCATGTACATGTCTTCCGGGAATGCTGGGGCTTACGCAACGCCGGCAGAGTACAGCAGCTGACAATTTGTAGATGCTGTTTGGAGAACGGCGGCAATCGCATTTATTAGTGATGCAGCCCTGGCGGTCGCACCAAGGAGGAGTGCAGAATCAAGATGCCGCCTGTATAGTTGTAAGCCTTTGCTACTGGGAACCAGAGTTGTTTGTAAAGCTTGGCAACTCAGAACCGGTGCGCTGTGTGATGGCTCCAGGCTTGCATGCGAAAGCTCGAGGCGAGCGTTCCTAGCACATGCTGGCATAAGGTAGCCTTATCACATTCAATAAGCATGCCAAAGAGTGGCAAGCATCAACGACAAGGCACGTGCTTTGTGGACGCAAAAGTTAGAGCTCTTCGCTTCATGGCTTGCGGTGCACCTGGCCTCTTTGAGAGATTCTTCGTGTTCTATAAGAACCTTTAGTTTTCTATAGTCTCCTTAGGATTTTTTTGGTTTGTGTTTACAAAGAGCCCAAGAGGATATTCAAGAACACATTTTTCTTATGGTTCTTATTCTAAGGGGGTTATAGTTTTGAGGTCTTATTTAGTACTTCGTGCCTCGGGAGGCCCATCAGACCGCTGCAGCTGCTTCTCTGCATTCGAATGAACTCCGACTCAAGCCTTACAAAGGCCAGAAAAACGCCTGAAACCCGCGCCCCAGAACCCAAAACCTAAGCCCTGAAAGCAAGACATCATCAAGTCTTGAAGCGAGTCTACTTAAAGGATCATGGGACTTAGTAACTAGGGTTATAAATAAGGTAACTCTACTTATAACTACTTATAACCCCAATTAAGGTACTTATAACCTTACTTACTAAGTCCCATGATCCTCCAAGTAGGGTCCCATGTCTCGAACCATACATTAAGGCTCTTCAGGGCCACGCAATGGGTGGCTTTTGAGCTAAACCAACGCGCTGTTGGGCTCGGGGCTTTGGGAAGCACCAAGGGCTTTGTGCTACGGCTTTCGGCTTCATCAAGTCCTCGCGGGCTTTTAACATGGGTCGACAATATGTCAAGTGTTCTAGGGTTTGGGGTATCGGGCTTGAGGGTTTTATCGTTTATCATGTCGGCTGCCGGGGTTTAAGTGTTTTAACCGTATTGTACATCCTAGTCCTAAACCCTATAAACATCCCTAAACACACTCTTAAAAGAAATCTCTCAACTCCTAAACCCTTCCAAGGCCGTGAAAATGAAAGAAGCGGCCCCCACGGATCCTGGCTTCTCCTACGCGCCGCGCCTTTCGCAACCTCCGAGCACTGGAGGTTCGATTTAGGGGTTTAGGGCCCACTAATGCCATTGATTGACAACGGTTCAGGGGTCAGGGTTTTGAGGTTTCGAGCTTAGGGCTTAGGGAGTCTATGGGGCTTTGTATCAGTGTTTACAAAATTCTGGGGTTCTGTTGTGTAGGTTAGGACATTTTGCAGGACCTTACGGTGTGTCCGGTTTTATGGTGTTTTGCAAAGGGCTCTCATAGTGTTCTGCGGTTCGTCATCACGTACATACATACGTATCATACGTACGTACACACTCCTATATAACTATGTACATATTTAGGCATCAGGTTTTACAGGGCTTCCAGCTAACAAGGGGTTAGTTTCAGCGCCCAGGTACTCTCCCAAGCCCGTCGAATGTGTAACGCACCTACCTAACATCCTATAAAGATACCGCTTGTCATTTAAGGGACATTGCTTCATGAAAGAGTTCGGAGGCTCCCTACGGGGTCCAATAGTTCCTGATTTAGGACTCTGGCTCCTCTTCTGGAACAAAACCATTCAAAAACAAGGACAACTTGCAGCTTCATAAATGTGTTGCCGTAAAACAGGGAGGGGAAAAGCTTTTCAGGATTTAGCATTTGGGTTTTAGGTTTTTGGGCTCGGCGCTTGAAATTTAGGGCTTACTGTTAAGAGTTGGCCGACGAAGCCGAATCACCATTTGCTTTTGTGGCCTTGGGGTGTTTGTGGTTGTCCAATGCGTTTGCGGTCATGAGTTCATGGTTTTGGAGAATATCGGACTTGTAGTGTCTAAGGGGAGGAGACTAGGCTTGGCAGAATGCGGGGGTCATGCGCCCAGACAGCATGTTCGAGGGGGGCTGCAGATGGATGTCGCGTTTCGTATCCTCCGTATACTGAAGACTGAAGCATATTTAGACTCTGTGCATTGGGCTACCCTCGACTTGTATTTGTTTGCTTAGTTGAGGCAAGCTTTTGGGGCTTAGATGCATGGTGATTCATGCTGAGTTGATTGTGCGTTGACTTGAAGCATCTCAGGGGATTGGGTTCACGAAATTGCACTTCGGCCTGTGGGTTTAGGAGTGTTCAGGGTGCTGGCTGCAGAGTTTTCGTAAGGCCCTCACGCCCTAAGCGCCTACAGGGAGCCAGAGATCCTATTATAGAACCCTGAGCGTCCATGTGCCTAAATAGTATATACTTTGGCCTTAAAGGAGTCCCTATATAGGTACATTGGGCCCAAAGTACATACTATTTGGGTACATGGACCCTTAGGGGAATGTCATATAGTCATTTTGGCGTTGGCGCCTTGGAATTAGAATAGTGTGTTGGGGTTTATACTCTAGAGTATAACTACAATAGGGACCCCTTTTAAATACGATGGATGCGGACTCTATACGTTAAGGATATCACTTGTTGGGGGTTGTAAGGTCTTGGGTGTTGCCGTGACTGCCCCACACATGTCAAGGAAGGGCCAGTCTGGGTGACAAGTTAAGCCAAATATCAACTATACCCTGAGGGTCATGTACCTAAATAGTATATACTTTGGCCTTAAATTTAAAGTAGTCCCTATAACTTTGGGGCCAGAGTATATACTATCTGGGCACATGGACCCTTAGGGAAGTATCAACTATAGCGGTCTAAAGCACCAGCGGCAGACGGAGACTTCCCGAAGAGTCTCCCTAACGGTCCAAGTACTCCCTATCAGATTGTGCCATTTTTTCTGCGAGGTACCAAAACCCCAAAATAAGGACCACTTGGACCCTTAGGGTCTCTGTATCATGACATCCTTAAACCCTAAACTCTGTGGGAGGATGAAAAACTCCGCAAACAAAAGCCTGATCCAATGATTTTGTCTGCACAGAACTGGGTTTCAGTTGAACGGTGGCTACGGGTGACAACTAGGAGCACCATCTAAGGGTTTGGGGAAGTTACCTTGCGTTCAGGCCAGCCGCATCCTGACTTTCAGGATTCTTGGCGAAAGTGGCCCTAAACTCTAGTTCCTATCCGGGTCGTAGCAGATTAAGGCAGAACTTCAGATGCCATCCGGTCGTTGTAGCCTTGCCTCTGTTTGCGGAGCTTTCGGGCAGTAGCCGTGGCGGACGTTCAGCTTACCGGGGAAATAGACAAGCCACCGCCTTACAAGCAATGCCTAAAAGCTATTGGTCATAATTCATAGTCATAATCATCGTGATGTCCTGTGATATCCTTGACCGCATAACTCGAACCATAATCATAATGACGTTAGCTTCCATAGTAACAGCTGATTGTACCACGTACACATCATCATGAACAAGAAGAAGAACAATAACGATGGAAATGTCAGGAAATGACAATATCAAATGAAATAGTGAAAGTAATAAAGGGACTAAAAGCAGCGACCATGATAGTACAAATATTCGTAGTGATGATAGATGAATCATAGTCATAATATCAACAGTCATATTGAACATTGGTGAGATTCTCGTTCTTGGCAGGGGTGCAGGCCTTCAGGGTTCTCAGGGTCTGCAGTTTGCGGATTGTAGGGTTTGGGTGTTCGGGCTTGTGATGTAGCGCGTAGGGGTTTGGCTTCAGACTTCGCGTTTTGATTCAGATCGTTAGTTTTCTTATTGACGCGACTTCGCAGATCGAGCTGTGGCCCAACCATTGGTCAGGGTTCAGACGACAGTCCTTGGAGGCTCATGGGTAGTTATGAGTAGGGGTATAAGTATCATAACTATGGCTATAGCCTATATTAGGGGAGTTATAGCCCCACTTACAACTTCCCATGAACCTCTAAGTAAGGTTCAGGCTTGGGTGTCTTCGGGTTCCAGAGTCAGGTGTGTGCGATTAAAGCAGGGTCAAGGGTTGTGGACTGCGTACCCAAATAGTATATACTCCGGCCCCAAAGTACCTATATGGGGACTACTTTAAGGCCAGTGTATATGCTATTTGGCTACATGGGCCCTTATACCCTAAACCCGAATAGAACCCTTATGGATCCTTTAAAGGAGCCCTTATGATACCCTTAAAGGAGGCCCCTATTTGGGTACATGGACCCTGAGGGTAGATGCAGGATTCCGGAAGCGGAGGGTTAGTAAGGGTCCTTAAAGGGCTCTGTAATGGGATCTATAGGGTTTAGGGTTCAGGGCCTACGTACTTGAAGGATCCTAGGACTTGGTAAGTAAGGTTCTAACTACCTGAGTAGGGGTTTTCAGCAGTTATCAGTAGAGTTACCCTGATTATAACCCTAGCTACTAAGTCCCATGACCCTTTAAGTTGCTAGGGCTCCAGGTGTTTGGGAGTTGGGGTCCGCAGGGTTTTGTCGAGGTCTTGCTTCGCAAACCGTACAAAGCATCTGATAAGTAGTGCATAGTACGTAGGGTTGTAAGTAGGATATCTATGGTTATAGCCTATACTCGGGGACTTAAAGCCCCACTTATACCTAGCCATGAACCTCCGAGTAGACTCTAACGGGTAAAGGAGACCCTAACATGGTATTCTAAATAGTAGGATCCTTGTTATTATAGGACCCCAGAATAAGGTAAGCCTAATTTTCGGAAACTCTCGCAAAGCAGCCTGAGCTTCAGGCGGAGCACGATGCGGCACTGTCCTTCACGGAGTTCTGCCGACCTGGCCGCTACGGAACCATCTCCCGGGACCCAGTGGCAAGGCGTGCGAACGTGAGTTTGGGTTTAGGGTTTGGGGTCTGGGGTTTAGGTTTAGGGTTTTTTGGGGTTAGAAGTCCTACAAACCCCAAACGACACCCCATATACAGCACTGTAAGGCCCCTTTAGGCAACCTTGTGGCTGCTCTTGTGGCGACAAGACTGTACATGAGTTAAACGTCTTCACCGCGAAACCAGCAACCCGGTGCTTGGCAAAAGTTTCGGAAGTGGCTCAGGGCGAGAATGGTCTGCCAGGGTCTAGGATTTCGGGTATAGAACTGCTGCCAGGGACGTTACGAGCTTTACCTGGACCCCCCAAATATGTAGAATAATAGCCGTTTATAGGTATTGGGCCATTATTTTACCTACTCTGGGGGGGTTTAGGTATAGCTTGTTTTTGTTCACCAAAGCTTCAACGTTTGATTTTTGCAGCTTGCAGTGCAGAAAGCCGCGGCCCCAAGGTTTAGGAACGGAGCATCGAGACATGCAGACGGGGCGATCTGGGGAGTCCTGAACCACAACATACTGGTTTAGGGTTTAGGGTTTAGGGTTTAAGACATACAGTGTGGCAGCAGGGGGCGGTGGGAGCTGCAGCGATAAGTGCTGAAACGAAGAGCACATCAGCATATTCTTCTTAGTAGCTGAGTAGGTCGCCTTTAACCCTTTGGGGTTTATATGATCCTGCCATAATTGAAAATGTTGACCTTTTTTGGGCTAGGGTATTCAGCCCCAATCGTCTGAGTGGGCCTTAGTAGGCTGTCAAAGTTGCTGTAGTTTGAAGCTATTATGGCAGGCATCCAGAGAAGCCTCTCCTAAGTAAAGAGCCACATGTGAGTTTCCGAAAACTAGGGGTCTCTTGTGTCGGGGTCCTTATAATTATAGTAAGCATCCTACTATCAGGACCCCCTATGTCCGGAAACTCCCACATGAATACCTGAATGAACCAGACCTGGCTTTAGCGCAAGTCCCATTGGCACTCGGGTCTCCATTCGGTCGGAGGACATCTGACGAGTTCAAAGCCGTGACGAGCTACTTCTTGAGCACCCTGGGCTTAGGCGAGGATGAGCATAAAAGTCGTGTAGATCTTCAGATGTGAGTCCCCGAAATTTAGGGGTACCTTTTGGGGAGGTCCTGATAATACGGATCCTACTATTTAGGATACTATATTGAGGTCCGATTTTCGGAACCCACCTGGAGCCTTGGGGTGCTTGGGAAGCAGATTATGTGACCTTCTGTGGTCCCGAGCCCCGGATATCATGAGACCATAAAATCCCGACAACAGAAAACACATGCACAGACACACATACACAGACCTTCAAAGAAAATCTACAGGCCTTTCTTCAGTTGTCTTTCGTCAGCTTCAGAAGTCTCATTTACTTGAAAGGTTTGGCACAGGGACCTTTTCATTATTGTTCTTGTTGTGTTCCTTCACAACATTTCATGCTTGAGACATATCAGTTCAGGAGTCAATATCAGAAAAGACATCATCATCGCCCTGCAATTGTCGGTTTCGATTTCGTTCATAGGTCTCAACCATGTGCCTAAGCCCTACCTGCACGAGGGAGGCCCCACACCCATAAAAGCCTAATATGGGAGTTTCCGAAAATAGGGGACCTTAGTATAGTGCCCCAAATACTAGGATCCTTATAACAAGGGCCGCAAACAAGGTACCTAAGTTTCGGAAACTGCCATGTTCTACGTACTACCAGGGTCCAAGACAACCCTAGCAGGGTTCGGGTTTCTGGCGAACGAAGGGGCCGCTTCCGAAAGCCCTCGGAATTAACATAGAAGTCTGTACCTAAACCCTCAAAGTAGGTAAAATAGTGGCCCAATACCCATAAAAGGTCCATTATTCTACCTACTTTGGGGGTTCAGGTATGCATGGGGAGGACCTCGACCCCAAGAGCACGTAGAATATTGCGATTTTATGGCTGCTGGGCCATGATTTTGCCCACTTTGAGGTGGGCGAGTATAGTGCGCATCCTAATACCAGTATAACGGGGATCCGTATATTCAGGCCTTTAGGGATAAGGGGGTTTCTTAGATAGCAGTACTTCGGCTTCCTACCATGACTATAGCACCAGCATGTACTTAGGGTTCCTGTTGTGACTGCCGTATACACATGACACATGCACTTAGGGTTCCTGTTATCACTCTGGTAGAAGCAAGTACCCCAAGGCCCCATTCTAATCATCGCGGCCCCCACGCAAGCTCTGCGTCGGGCCCATCGCCCAAGCTCTGTTTTTTCTCAAGCAGCCCGAAATCACAAAACCTCACTTGAGTATGTACGGCTACTTATGCAACTTCTGAATGCTTTGGCTCTGTTCGAATTCTTCAAAGTAAGTCGGCCTGTAGATAGATATCACTATAGTTGCCTTACTTATAACACTAAACTACCCATCGTCTCCATTGTAGTTCCTTTTCTTGGCTTTACCAGTGTTATGTGTAGGATCCTATAAGGAAGCCCCGGAAAAGGAGCTACAATGGAGACTATAGGTAGCGTTCTGGAGCTCCAGAGTTACCACAGGGGCCTTAGTGAGTAGAATAGGATTTTCGGGGCCATTATGCTATCATTATAATAAGGAACCCCTAAGCCCTAACCTTCTAAACTTCCTAAACCCAAAAGCCCTAAAGCCCTAACCTACTACCCAGAGAGCCCAATACCCCTTAATTAAGGAATATAGCTTAAACCATGATATGAAGCGCTATATAGTTCAAGCCATATTCCTTAATTAAGGGGCATTGGAGTCCCCCAAACCGTAAACCCTATACCCTAAACCTTATAAATCCCTTATAGATCCCTTTAAAGAACCCTTAATTAAGGGTGTTAAGGGCTCTCTGGGTAAGTCTCCTGTTGCCCGAAATAGGCGAAGATCTCGAAGTGAAGGAGCTTCGGAGGCTGCAAAACGGGAAGGCCCTCGGTGTCCGTTGTTTCGGGGCTTTAGGGGTTTAGGGGGTTTAGGGCTTTAGGGTTTTAGGGTTTTTTAGAGGCTTTAGGGTTTTGGGGTTTGAGGGTTTTAGGTTTTTACGGTTTTGGGTTTTTGGGGTTTTAGGGTTTTAGGGTCTAGCGTTTAGGCTTTCAGGGATCAGGGTTTACGGTTAAGGGTGTTAGCTAGGGCTAGGCTTTGTCTGCGCTTGTGACATTGTGGCCTCAAGCCTGTGTCCGTTGTGTGTGCGTGTGTACGTTCTGCAAGCCCGGTCCGCGCAGCCCCCGTAAACCCTAAACCCTAACTAGGATGCCCAGTAGTACCCTTATTCCCTTTTTGTAGTCCTAGATTCCTTATAAAGTTACCCAATACCAAAAAGAGAGGCCTTTTTATTCTTAGGTTACTGGGTATCCTAGCTAAACCTTACTTACTTTGGCGGGTATGAGTACGGTCCGCCCACCAAGCCAAGCAGAAACTCCCATGGAGGGCCGATGTGCGCAGGTCGACTAGAACCCCGAGCCCCGAAGCCTCCCCATGAACCTGAAACCCCATAACCAACCCTTACCTAAACCCCCCAAAGTAGGTAAAATCATGGCCCTATACCAAGAAAAGGCTAGTATTCTACATACTTTGGGGGTCCAGGTAGATCCTGCTATGCGGAATATGCGCGCCTAAGCGCTGAGCCTTAAACGTTCCTCTTTTCCAGAAGGTTCTCCACCGCTTCGCGTGCAGCGGAGATGTGACCCTCATGTTCCACGGTTGCAGGCCAGGCCCTCAGCATTAAGGGAAGTTGAGGACTTTGGGATGTATAAGTATGTTTCGTTTGTGTGCACGGTTCGGGGCTCTGGGCTTAGTTCGAGGGTTTTACAGCTTTTTGCAGAAGGCCTGGCAGGTTTCCACTTGGGTCGCACGATCTGTAGCAGGCTCTCAGAGGATATATGCATCTTCTGTACTCCTAAACCCCTAAACCCTAGACCCAAACCCTATAAAGTCCTAAAGCATAGTTCACGAAGGACGCGGCTCCCAAATCTGAGTGAACATTTGGCGCTTTCCGGTTGGCCTCAGCGCCGGACCGTCCTGGGTTCAGGGATTGCCAGCAACAGTCAGACTGCCACAAGAACAGCACAGCTGCTTATGCCGTCCTCGGGGACTACTCGGATTCAATCGGACTCATTCATCGTATACTTGGAGGATCACGGGACCTTAGTAAGTAAGGTTACAAGTATCTTAGTTGGGTGTTATAAGTCGTTGTAAGTAGAGTATATCGCAATTATAGCCCTTGTTACTAAGCCCCGTGATCCTTTAAGTAACGAAAGCTAGAGACATTGGGGGTATATGTAGCTATAAGTAGAGTTACCGGAAAACAACCCTTGTTACTACGTCCGATGACCCTTTAAGTAGTGACAGCTAGAACCACAGCGGATGAGGAGGAGACGCAAGAAGCAGTGGCCTGGTCTCGTAGGTCTAACAGAATATATGGGCCTTACCGTAACCCGGGGAAGAACCTACCTTTTTAAGGACTTATATAAGGAAACCCGAAAGTAAGCCTGAAAAGGTAGGTTATTCAGGGTTAAGGTAATAATTAGAATACGGTTTTGGGGGCCATTATACTATGCCCATAATAAGGAACATGGTAATTATTCAGGTCCCCATATTGCCGTAGACTACAGTAGACTTCACCATCAAATCACCAGTCACGGCTGGTGAAGCTGCCCCAAACCCTGAACCTTGAACCCTTGCATACTGTCCCCAAGCCCTAAACCCACACTTTAAACCCTAAACCCCAAAAGCCAACTCCTTAGACCCTATAGGACCCCTCTACATCCTAAACCCTCTCCTTAGACCCTAAACTCCTCTACACCCTAAACCCTAACCCCTAAAACCGTAAACCTATATACCCTAAACCCTAAAACCTTAAACCTATATACCCTAAGCCCTTAAGGCCCACTAAACCCCTTCCTTAGACCCTTCCTTAGACCCTAAAGCTTCAAAATGGGGTATAATTATAACTACTATTGCTACCATTCTTCCATTCCCAGAGAACCAAAGGTAAGTAAAGCTTAGGAACCCTATAGATCCCTTGAAGGAGCCCTTTAAGAACCCTTTTAAGGGCTTCAAGCCCGGGGTCAGCCCTAAACCCTAAACCCTTAAGGCCCACTAAACCCCCTCCTTAGATCCCAAAAGCTTCAAGCCCGGAGTCAGCCCAAGGACGCAAGCCAATGAGGCGAAGATCCTTCAGGAACCTCAGCGCCTCCTTTCCCGTCCGATATTTGTGGGGTTAGGGTTCCTCTAAAGGGAATTCTTAGGGTTCCTTTAAAGGGAAGTATTAGGGTTCCTTTAAAGGGAATTATTAGGGTTCGCTTGAAGGGATTTATTAGGGTTCCTTTGAAGGGATTTATTAGGGTTCCTTTGAAGGGATTTATTAGGGTTCCTTTGAAGGGATTTATTAGGGTTCCTTTGAAGGGGATTATTAGGGTTCCTTTAAAGGGCTATATAAGGGTACTATGGAAAAATGGTAGTAATAGTAGTTCCATTCCTCCATTCCCTACTAACCAAAGGTAAGCTTTCCGGTCCGATATGTAGGGTTGAGGGTTACTAGGTAGAGTTTCGAGTTGAGGGTTCAGGGTTTTGGGTTTGGGGTTTAGGGTTCAGGGTTTTAGGTTTTGGGTTGTGGGTTCAAGGTCAGGTGTTGAGGTTTCAGGTTTTAGGGTTAAGGGCTCCAAGTTAATCAGGGTTTAGGGTTCAGTGTGTAGGGCTTACGGTTTAGCGTATCGGGTTCGAGGTTTCTGAGTTAACCGGGACCCCCAAGCGATAATCGGGAAAAAACGGTTTCACATTTCTCATCAAGACGTATCGTAGAAGGCTACAAGAATTCGGCTAAGAGGAGGTTAAGGGTTCAGCTTGAATTAAGGGAGCTCGGATTTCGTCGGGGTGGGATGGGGTGTGGTTCGGGTGTACGGGTGAAGGGTATCGGGTTTACAGTTAAGTGGCACTGTTCGAAGAGTCAGGTTTGTTTGTTAAGCACACTTGTTTCCTGAGCCTGAGACCCAGAGGGTCTAAGTTCACGGCACCATATGGGCAGTTCTCTAAGGCTCCACGGGCCTACACGGTATAATATACGGAGGGCTTCCAGGGGCTCCTACATAATTACGTATTTGGGGGCCACATAGAGACGCATGGAGCCTCCTAAATGAACCTAAACCGCCAGGAAGGCTTCAAAGTGCGATGCTGCAGCAGCGGCGGTGCAAACTACGGTACATGGCCGCTCGAACGCCTCAAGTGTTAGGGTTTAGGGTTTGAGACCTATATACAAGAACCCCAAACCCCTAAATCCTATAAGCTTTGGCTTTGTGGAGGTTCCTATGATACTTGAGGGATAAAGAATCCATTGGATTGGACCCTTAGGGTTAGATCGTTGTCTCAGGGATTCCTATCCCAAGCCCTGAACACTAGACCCCGAACCTAACAACCTCAAACCAGCACCCAAAACCGCGCTGAACTCCAAACCTAATCCCCAAGCCCTCAGATCTAGCAGATCCCACACCCTAAACCCTAAACCCTAAACCCTAAACCCCTAAACCCTAAACCCCTAAACCCTAAACCCCTAAACCCTAAACCCTAAACCCTAAACCCCTAAACCCCTAAACCCCTAAACCCCTAAACCCCTAAACCCTAAACCCTCAGCCCGCTAAATCCGAAGCGCTACACCCCAGGCCCCTTTTGTTGTGAAGGGTTCAGGGTTTAGGGTTCAGGGTTTAGGGTTTAGGGTGAAGGGTTCAGGGTTTAGGGTGCTTTCTGTCGCTTCGAGCGGAGTAAGGTTGCGTAAGATCAGGTTTGTGTAGTTGATGGGGATTTAGTTCTTTTGGTCTGGGTCTTTATAAGTAGATTACCGTTCGATACTGTTCTTGCAGATTCGTATATTGGTTTGCTTAGGGACCTGGTGGGTCTATGCCGGGCTCCTGGGTGTGTTCGTGAGTGTGTAGTTGTCTGAGCACGCTATGTCAAAGTCTGCTTCATGTAAGTCTTGCGAGCTCATTGGTCTAAACCCTGACCCCTGAACCCTAGACCCCTGGCACCCCTAAATCCTAAGCCCTGCCCCGTGATCACTCCAACTCAAGCCCGCTCAATCTTCCCACAGGCGCCAAGGCACCAATCCTGAGCCAAACTCAACAAACGCCTTGAAGGCATGTGAATCCCACACTTTGCCCGAATGGCTTTGAGGCAGCAGGGACAAGGGCAAACCGCTGCAAACCCTAAACCGCAAAACCCTAACCTAACAGGGTTATGGGTGCTGGTCTCGGAGTGAGGGATATCAAAGCAAGAAGCTCCGAAAAATTGAACCCTCACTGCGAGACCCTTCTGGAAGCCCTTGTGATACGTTCCCTGTAGCTGGAACCAATACCATGAAGAAGCACACAGAGCCCACGTGCAGCCCCAAGTCTCACCCAGAGAGCCCAATACCCCTTAATTAAGGAATATAGCTTAAACCATAATATGAAGCCCTATAAAATTTAAGCCATATTCCCTAATTAAGGGGTATTGGGCTCTCTGGGCACCGAATACCAAGCCTAAGCCCCAAATCGCTTCCAGGTTTGCATACAACGCCCGCTACAGCAACTCTGGCTTCGTGTTCATGGATGCTGACGGGCGTCCTGGCTTAGAGACCAGTGGGTTGGCCTTGGGTTGGTTAAGGTTTGTGTCGTCAGGGATTTGAAGGGGCTGTGCTTCGGGGACGATAAGGAAGGAATGACGGAAGCAAGAACGAAATACACAAGCCACATCGCATGAATACACTAATGAACGAACGCAGTGAGTCGGAATGGAATGGAATGGAAGGATGGATGGATGGATGGATGGACGGATGGATGGACGGATGGATGGATGGATGGGTAGATATTGAATGAGTGATTTATGAACCAAGAAACCAATGAATTAATGAATGAAGGAGTGGAGTGAGAAGAATAACGAAATGAGTGAAGATAATGAGCACATGAATGCATCCATGCATGTATACGGGATGGCTGGGTGGATCAATGTTTGGATGGATGGGTAGATGGATGGAGTATGTGGCCTGGCTGGCTGGCTGGGTAGGGGTGTGGGTGTGGATTGGATGGGTGGGTGGGCACGTGCGGGGCGGTGGGGGTTGGGTAGGTGGCTGGCCGGGCTGGTGTCTGGGTGGGCGGGCGGGCAGGCGTGTGTATTTGCATACCGCCGTTTGTTGGCTGCAAGCGGACATAAGCATAAGCACTTTCGGGATATGCCCACCTTATTGGCTGCGATTTCCTGTCTCTTGGCCTGAGGAGGTGTGAAGGTTTCAAGGCTGATTCGGGTGGCGATTAGAGTCGTCCTCAAGCCCCAAGTCGAAAGCCCTACTTAAGCTGAAGCCCAAAGCCTCAAACTCTCGAACCGAGATCCCCCAAATCCGCGTTTCAGGATTTAGGGTAGAAAAAGGCTCTCAAATCAAAAACGGAAGGAGTGATAAACACACACAAGTTAAGCTTAAACCCTAGCCTTAGCAGTCTAAGACCGAAAAAAGCGCACGGCCCTAAAGCTAAGGTTCATGCACATGTTCATTTGCGTCGTGTCCTACCACTACACTGTGATGGACAACGCAGAGATGAGGGTCGTCGGCCAGGATTGCGCCTACCCTCAGTGGCTCCTTTGCCGAATTTTGAACCCCAGGTCCTAAAGCCTAGGATTGAGGGGTTGAGGGGTTCAGGGCGTACTTGAACCCTCGAAACCTGCTTTTTGCCTCACCCTGAATAAAGCGACAGATTTGCTGGGGTTAAGGTAGGAGTGTTTTACGGGAGGAGTTGACGGTGTAGTGTTTCCAGAAGAAGCTTGGTCACTTCGCGAGCATTCCTTCGGTGAGACACTGTAGTCTCTGGGTAGCAGGGTAGCAAGTAATAATATAGGGGTCTGAATAATTACCAACACTATTTGGGGGGTTGGACACACTTGGGGTTAGAGATATCCCAGTGATGAGACCCAATAAGCTTAGTCCCACATCCCTGAAACCTCCCTTATACTAGCTCTTCAGTGTTCCCCTCATATGATGTCCTCATATGTGTCCTGAAAACGCTGGGTTTTGAGGCCCTCTGCTAGAGCTGTCCCGTTTGGGTATTCGAAGTAGAGGCACTTCGATGCGAAGCCCTAGACCTGCACCCAGAGAGCCCAACACCCCGTAATTAAGGAATATGTCTTAAATCACATAATTTGAAGTCCTATGTAATTCAAGCCATATTCCTTAATTAAGGGGTATTGGGCTCTCTGGGCGTGCGGAACCCCAAATTCCTACAGGGCCAGGATCTCGGATTTCGGGTTCAGGTAAGTTCTAGGCCCTAAACTCAACCTATCATAATTAGTGCAGGCCGCAGATCGGCTGGACGTTTGGCAAAAAAAGGGCCCCATCGCCCAGAGAGCCCAATACCCCTTAATTAAGGAATATGGCCTAAATCATAGAGGGCTTCAAATTCTGATTCAAGGGCTATATTCCTTAATTCAGGGGTTTTGGGATCTCTGGCCCCACGTAAAAAAAACAACCCTAAACCCAAAACCGTTTGGGGTGGAGAGCTTCAGCGACCCTGGCCCAAAAGACCCACGGCAGGAAAAGAAGCGAAGCAGAACCTAGGATGCCCAGTAGTACCCTTATTCCCTTTTTGTAGTCCTAGGTTCCTTATAAAGTTACCCAATACCAAAAAGAGAGGCCTTTTTATTCTTAGGTTACTGGGTAACCTAGTCCTCTATGCCCAGTTAAGGCCCCTAGAGAATAGAAACCGTTTATAGACCCCTTATAGTAACCCTTTTAAAGGATCCCTTTAAAGCCCTATTGAAATTGTATTACTGGGTATCCTAGGAACTCGGGACTCGACCATAAACCTGAAGCAGAATCCTCGGCCCTAAAGCCCGTCAACGCCTGTGGAACCGAAACCCATCCTTTTAGGGTTTAGGGTTTAGGGCTTTAGGGGCTTCAGGGGTTTTAGGGTTTTTAGGGTTTTTAGGGTTTAGGGTTTAGGGGTAAAACCCTCGAAAAAGCCTATAAAACCTTGCAGACCCTGACATAGGCCCTGAACGCCCTCAGGCTGATCAAGTACAAGGTGCCCCAGTACCGCTTCACCGCAAACTTGAGGAGGCCGACACTACCAATAGTGCTTGCGGGATACTATACTTATAGTATAAAAGGCCCCAAGACCCTATTCGAGTTACTTAAGGCTTCTACAGTCCGGGTTTTGAGTTCAGGGCTCTTGCAGAGTAGAGCTTATTGTGTTAAAAGGGTTGTTCAAAAGACTCAAAAGGCTTTAGACAGCAATTTACACCGATACAGAATAGAGACTTTAGGGATTTGATTTCGGACTGTGCTTTCAGGGATTTGATTTCGGAGATTGGTTTTAGAGTTCAGGGGCGTGGAACACAGGGTCCAGAAAACCAGGGCTGCAGTGATCAGACGGGTGAGATTCATGGTTTCGGCTTAGGGCTTGTGAGCCTAATATGGACGTCTGATACATAAATAAATAAAAAATGAATAATATATATATATATATATATATATATATGCATATATATATATGCTCACCCCCCCCCCGGTGACAGACCACGGGTCTAAAAAACACCGTGCACAACGATATTCTGTGAAGCAAAACCGTTACATGAGGTATATAGTATAGCACCAGACGTGCGGCACATGAGTTACGTAATAGTCTTGTGGTAGTATCGGTATTAGGGTGAGTATTGTTATTAATATTAGTACTATTGCTTGCTGTAAGTATACGTATCAATATTGCCAACTATAAATTAGTGTTAGTGCTCATGTTCGTGTTAGAGTTAGCGCTAGTGCCAGTGTCAATGTCAGTAATACAGCACCACTGCTACGAGTAGTATCAGTATCAGTCTTAATGCTGGGTTTAACAGCAGCTTATATTCGCAGAAGTGCTAGTATTAGTATCAATATTAGAACTAGTTAGTTTTGATATGTTAGTATATTGATAGTCTCGTATATTAGCAGATTAGTATATCAATACATCAATGTATTCGGACAGCAAAATATTTGCATACTTGTATACTAGTATATTTTACATGTTAGTACAACTGGTGCATGACTACACTACTATACTGCTGTATTAGCTTACTAGTATATTGACATACCAGTATATTCGTACGTTAGCATATTAGTGTACGAATATGTGTACTATATTACTGTTTTATCTAATCATGTATAAGTATATCAGTATGTTGGCATATTAGTATACGAACTTGTCATGTCGGTATTCTTGCATAGTGCAGTAGCCGTATATGATTATAGTCACATATTCGTATAGTATATTCATACAACAACGAGAAGTATATTGATACATTGGTATATGGGTATATGCCTATGCCAAAGCATTAATACATGAATGCACTGATGTATATATCTGTATCTTAAGATAGTGGTACGTATTTTATGTACATGAGTATATGCAGGTGTCTATTAGTAATGGTATTAGTTTTCATATCAATATGAATATACTATTGGTATTCGTAGGAGTATTAATGTCAATAATAGTAGAAGTAGGACTATTTATACTCGTAATAGCCATAATATGAGTGTTCATGCTGGTAATACTAGTGGCATTCTTGAATATGCAGCAGATTATCAAAGTCCGTATTAGTGTTGGTGATAGCACTACTGTTAACGCACAAGGGTTTACGTATTCGTATTCGTAGGAGTATAAATAGCTATGTAAATATTGATGTTAGTATAGATTTTGTGTTAAGTATTAGCAGTAGTGTTAGCGTTAGTACTATCATATTATTGATGATATACATTCGAAAGAATGTTTGTATTGTTATTACTCTTGACCACGTGAAATTCTAACAGTTGAATTCATGAGTGAGTTAAAGGATTTGTATTTTAATATGGTGGTATGCATGTTTATGTACATTAGTACATACAGGTGTGTGTTAGTATTGGTATTATTATACATTATTATCAATATGAATATGGTTATTGATATGCGTAGGAGTACTAAGAGCAATACTAATCAATCTTAGTATTTGTGTTATGCATATTCGTACTAAGCTTTATAGAAGTGTAATATTAGTAGTAATGCTGGTATTAGCTTGAGCATTCAACAAATGATCAATGTCAGTATGTTCAATGGCAATACTATATGTAGGAGTATCAATACATATATGTATATATAGATATACAGATAGATAGAGAGATATTCGTGTAAATATGGGCATGAGTATTGACAGCCCTTGCCTTTGCAAGTAATCTGGTCCGATGCGGAGACTAGCACGACAAGGCGCGCGGGTGTCCTACCAAGAAAGGAATTACAGAGCACACGTGTATGGATGAGGGTTGTGCTGATACACTACATAGTAAGCACTACACAGTAATCTTACTTGAGTCATATATAGAACAGATTCCAGCATTTCCAAAATTTCCAAAATTTCCAAAATTCTCTCCCCTAACTTTCCGATTTCCAAAATTTCCAAAATTTCCAAAATTTCCAAAATTTCCAAAATTTCCAAAATTTCCAAAATTTCCCGACCTAGTCGACAGGATTTTTCCAAAACATAAGGGCGGACTTTTTGGAAATTTTGGAAATTTTGGAAATTTTGGAAATTTCGGAAATTTGGAAATTTTGGAAATTTTGGAAATTTTGGAAATCCGGAAAGTTAGGGGAGAGAATTTTGGAAATTTTGGAAATTTTGGAATTGAGGCTTTGAAAGCTGAGTGCCCCCTCCCCCCGATCACAGACCATGCACTACGACTGAGTCGAAAGGGCATGGTCTGTCATGGGGGGGGGGGTGACCATATATATATATATATATGCCCGACATGCTTGTGCTGCAGCAGCCATGTCCAACGGTGAAGGCCTCCGTAGCTGGGTGTAAACTCTGTCCTGGAGTTGATTCTGCTGGAAACAGGCAACAAGTCCTAAGGGTCCATGTACCCAAATAGTATATACTCTGGCCCCATAGTATATACTCTGGCCCCAAAGTACCTATATAGGGAGCACTTTAAGGCCAAAGTATATGCTATTTAGATACATGGACCCTCAGGGCAAGTCTATATACTTTTTCGAGAGCAGTCATGACACCCCCTAGCCTTTCCCTTCTCTTCTACTGCTTCCGAATAACGATTGCCACCACGGCTCGGATATCAGAAGCTTCATTGTAGCACCCCAGATAGTGTACTATCACCACCATGCCCGGGATATCAGAAGCTTCATTGCAGCAACCCAGATAGTGTACCATTGAGGGTTTTAGGTTTGACGTGTAAATAGGGTTCGGGGTTTATTGCCGTCGTCATAGCAGCAGCAGCAGCAGCAGCAGCAGCAGCAGGAGGACGAAGAGGAGCAGGAGGGGGACAGGAGGAACAAGAGGAGGAGTAGCAGCCATCATTGCCGTGGTCGTTATCTTGTATGTACTGCTCGACCTCGCTACACCGCAAGCCTTGATAACAAAGCACTGATAAAGCTTAAGAAATCTCAAAGACAAACAAAGAAACTCTAAATCTTGCCAGGAAGGTGAATGCTGGAAGCAATCGGGAATCTCGGCTGCGTGGTGCGGTCGGTTTTGGCCTGCAGTTTATGGCCTGGGGGTCTTCGCATATTTTGAGACTTAATTAGGGATGTAGGGTTGGCGGCCACCCTGAACCCAAAACGCAAACCTCCAAACCCTAGACTCCTACAGTTCACGACGTAGATAGTTGCAGGACACTTTGAGCTTCAGGTTCCTTTGAAAGCTCATGGGTTCGCCTTGAGGCATAGCGCTACAGGGCTCGGGAACTTGGCTGTATGAATCTGAAGGTGCGGGGTCTGAACAGTCGGTCGTGCAGTTGGGGAGGTTCATAGCAGCTGTTGGCCGGAAACTTATGAATTTCGAGGTTCCTTTTACAATCCTCGGGTTACTTTTCTGCATGACAGCGTCGATTAAAAGACCAAAGCTCCACAAAGCTCCAAACCCTAGACCCCGACAGTCCAAACTAAATTGGACTAGGAGCAAGGCCTATGCATTCAGCCAGCAATCTTCGGGACTGCCTATAGTCTTCATTGTAGTTCGTGTTTTGGTGAACCAGTTTTATGGTTAGCATCCTATGATAGAGATTTTAACCAAAAAAAGGAACTACAATGGAGACTATAGGTATGAAGCCGCAGAGCCCTTATGCTAACCTTTAGTCATCACTTTGGGGTTTAGGGGTCACACATCTCAGATTTCTGGCTGTTTTGGTATAGTACCCTGTAACCCTTAGACGTTAAGGTTGGGAGGGCTTGGGCGTTTCGGTTTTGTAAGGCTCCCTTATACAATCGCAGGTGGTACAGGGCATATAGCTGTTTGGCTCGACCAGGTTTCCCTTGACGTACCTAGTGTTTTCATGTTCCTTTGGCGACAGGATCTTGAAATGAGTTTGGTTCGAAGAAGCACCGGCACACCACAAGACGCAGTGTCCTGGAATGCACGCTCCAAGCATAAGTGCGCTGGTGTTTCTGCGCAGCCCGTCCCCCACCCTCGAGGCTGAGATCAACAAGTAGCTACAACTTGTATTAGCAAATCCTACCCTGAGGGTCCAGTCACCCAAATAGTATATACTTTGGCCTTAAAGTAGTCCCTATAATGGTACTTTGGGGCCAGAGTATATACTATTTGGGTACATGGACCCTTAGGGCTATAAACACTAAACATTCCGGCTCATCCTGGTAAGGAATTCTTCCTGCACATATAGGGTACTCCAGAAAGTTGGAATATGGATTATTGGTAGGATCCCCTATAATTTACCTTAAAGGGGTTACGATAATGATATTCCAACTTTCTGGCTTCTACTCTATTCGAAAAACACCAAATGTAAACTTCAAATTCCTTTGACTTCAGCCTCTTCGACCCAGAAGCAAAGTTGCAAGAGCCTCTGGAAAGCTGAAATCAATTTTTTAGCCATGTTTTCGGCAATATTGGGCCTAATGAATCTCCAATACTATTTCGGGGGGCTCCTTAGTGTAATTCTAGTATAATGGCCCCAAAACCCTATTCTAATTATTAAGGCCCCTATATTACAGGGCTTATGGCTTGGCGCTGGCACTGCCGTGTCTGGCTTCTTCCAAACTGGGGGTCTCATTTCCACTTGCGGCTGTTTCCTGCTTGAGGGAAGGCCGGCCCTAACCTGAAATGCACGTAGTGGCATAGTGGCTTAGCCTGGTAAGTCGTGTAGGTTGACATGATCTACTACACAAAACAAGGCTTCTGGTCTTAGGGGCACGGACCCCATTCATCAGCGAGGTCTGGCACGTGGTTCGGGATGGGAAGTGGGTGCGCGAGACCGTTGGCACATGACGGCTCTCTTCGTGCGTGTGGAAGCGACATGGCCGCACACAATTGATATGGGTGCCCAAATTACTCTCTACAGGTCAGGCTCCCAAGGATAAGCTTGACAGTCATTTTGCAGCTATGAAAACAAGCAGAGAACGGTCCTATATTTCAGCTTTCATGTCGGCACTGTTTGGGTCCAAGCATACAGCAACATTAGAGACACGGTATATGGACCGTGCGGGCATCACAGATCCACGGTTAATCTGGTTAGTTCTTACTCTCCCGAAACACTAAACCTGATCATTGCCCAAGCCCGGGCCCTATATAATCCTTCTCAACAGCACGGGAAGGTCTAAACCCCGGCTTGGGGTATGTTGCAAGCAAATGTAGAATCACGCGGCCGAAATCAGGCAGGAAACTGCGCACCTATTACATTTCAAGATTGACATTCCCAACATTCCGCAGCGTGTTCTGATGCAGAATACCAGGTTAGTTGCCCGAAGCTGGCGCTCCAAAGTGGCAAGTAAGCCCTATACATTGCTAACGGTGAGACCGAAGATCCTTTTTAACCAAGCCTCATCTAGATCTGAAGCCTGCCTATAGTCTCTCTCCATTGTATTTCCTTTTTGGGGGTTACCGTGTAGGATCGTACATAAAAAGCTGGTTTACATATAAAACTGGTTAAACCAAAAAAGGATCTACAATGGATAATATGGGTACATGTTGAAAAAGTTCAGGGTGTAGGATGAGTGCATTCAGCTTAAAGCCAAGTCGCACTCGACTCTGAAAAGCGAGCCTTGCATGACCAAGGTGCTCTGCTCACATGCTACCGCTTTGCACCAGTGTACAGACAAATTTGGACGTGAAGAAGCCTATCTCCGAAGGCATCTCGGTTTACATGGTAAAGGTAGCGCAAAGATAGAGTTTGGTAACGAGGTGATTACGGAGGAGCGATTATGTGTACAGTTGTACAGCACACGCCCAGCAGTTTTGTCGTTGGCTTTGTGCCACGAGCTCCACTGTAGGCTCTGCCGAAGCCAACAGAAAAAGGGAGAGCTATGTACCTGGAGCCCCAAAGTACATAGAATAATCGCCTTTTACAAGTATGGGGCCATTATTTTGCCTACCTTGGGGGGTTTAGGTATTCGGAATTCTGTAAAGATACTCTTCCCTAAACCCCAAAAGCCGTAAGCGTTAAACCGAACTTCTTGCCTCAAATCTCCAATCCTGAAAACAAAAATGGAGCCGACAACTACAAAAACAAATCCCCAATCCTGAAACCCTAAGCCTTAAAATCGAGCCCTTTCCCTGAAATCCCCAATCCTGCAGCATGAACACGGATCCCGAAACTCGATCCTCTCCGGAGCCTAAAAATCGAAATTCCGATTCCCCGAGCCCCTTAAAGCCCCCTTAGAGCCCCTTTAAGCCTCCCTTCAAAGAATCCGACGTTCTGGGCTTGGGTTTAGGGCAACTTGGGTTCAAAGAGACTAAGAGAAACACAAAGGCGATTTAACGAGTGTAGCCCCAAGGGTCCAAAGGACCCAATAATTAGGTACTCGGTTTTAGGATAGTAGTTATGTAGCTTAGGATTTTGGAGAGTATAAACCCTAAACCCTAAACCCTAAACCCTTGTGTATGTTCCCCAGTCACGGAGTTGTTTTCGATTCTCTGGGTCTAGGTTCGAAGGCATTTTTCGGCGTTTAGGGCTAGGGGTTATGGGGTTTTGGCTTTTGGGTGTAGGGTTTACATATACAGTAGAAGCCAAAAAGTTGGAAACCCGATAGCCTCAATCCCTAAGAGTAAAGTATATGGAATCCCAGCACTATTTGTCCTTAACTAGGTTTCCAACTTTTTGGAGTTTGCTGTAGTGTAAGCATTGGATTCCTGATTTTGAGCTCATCAGATGCAGTTCGGCAAGCCTTCAGGTTCAAAACTTCTCGCACTGGTCCTCAAGCCCTAAAGCCCTAAACCTTTTACTCTACCAGGACCCCCCAACGGCCCTTTAATGGAGCCCTTATGGCCCTTAATAGTGGGTATTTGGGTATATTAGAGGGTAGTTGGGGGGTCTAGGTAGCATCTTTGCTTTCCTGGGCTCATAAACTGCTCTTTCAGAAGACACCGAATTCAACCCTGAAATGCTGCATTCCATGCACGCTCGCACGCCCACCCACCTACCCAACCCACCCACACCCCAACATGCCTACACACCCACGCACCCACATACGCACATTTTACTTGGGGGGAAGTTGGCTACCCAGGGCGACTACTTTAGGATGTCTTAGTACTAAATATTTGTAAAAGGAAGGTCGTCTGAGCTACACATGGGGTTCATGAAGGGCTTGCCACCGCTGTCGTTTCTAAGTCATGCTGTTGACGACCACGCCAGCCCCACAGTAAACATCCAAGTCACATTAGGAGGCCTGCTCACGTGTGTTGTGCTGTTTCATCTGGCTCAAACTCACATGCTGGAATGGCACCTACAAGGTCTAGTATTTCCTCCAGGACATTTCCGCAGCTTTCCTTAGTGCTGGAACTGGCCAGGACGTCTCCAACCCTGAAAGTGCGTGTTAAACTTGACTTGGCCTACTGCTCGGCAACTTGCAGTTGTGATGCCTGCTTCCGACATGTGGAGAACGAGAAGTCACTCGCTGGTAGCTTTAACTCTGTGCTTATCGCACCAACTTAGCTTCGTTAGGGCTTTAGCGTCTGTCGCTTTTTTCTTATTGCCTAGCCATACCTGAACACTTATGGAGATCGATGAGTGCCAGTTGCAATCCTATGTGTTCGAGCACTTACACCCGGAGCTCTTAACTAGGCTGCAGTCGTCCTAAAGTCACCAACTTGCCCATTGCTGCCTGGCAGCCGTCTTGCCGCGATCGGCCAGCAACCTACCAGCTGAGTGGATGTGTGCGGAGAGTTCGAAATCCCTCATGTTTTCTATTCTTTAGGGTCTGCGGCTTGGGGATCCAGGTTAGAGGCTGAGGGCTACAGGTCTAAGTGTGGTGTAGGTTATCGTGTCTCAGGGGGAAGTGAGGGTTGGGCCCTATGAAGCTCGAGGGTTCAAGTTGAGGGTCGTGAATGGTCGAAAACCTGGACATGTAAAGACTGAAACCCTAAAACAACATAATACAATCTAGGGTGATACCGTTACAGGCAAAGGGAATTTACATATTGCGGTCGTTGCAGGGTAATGTGATGCAAGATGTTGTGTTCGGTTATACATCGCGAATGCCGACCGCTCTTTTCCGTTCGCCTCTGTTGTAAAGCCCCTGGGTCCTACGGTTGATGGTATAAATCCTGCATTACCCATAATAAGGAATATGCCATAATTTCCCATAGTTTAGGGTCCTTAAGGTCATGCAGGACTTGTATCATCAACAGTATCATCCCGGGGCTGAGCAATCAAGGTCTGGTGTGATGGGGTCGACTGTAGCAGCGCTATACAGGGGCTCCCTAACCTCTAAATCCTAAACCCATTATGAGCCCATATAAACCCTAAACCCCTAAATCCTACAACCAATTCAACCTAACAGGTTTCTGGCAGGAGGAAGAGGTGCAACGACAACATCAACATGAACTCAGCCCCTAACCCCTTAACCCAAAGCCCGGTATTAAACCCTAAGTCGGTACTAGGCGCATCAGATCGCAAGTGCTGGAACCTACGGTTGCTGATCTCAATCCTGCATTACCCATAGTAAAATAGAATATACCATAATTTGAAACGCTGCGCGTCGTCCGCCTCGGCCCGGCTGTACGCGCATGCAAGTGGCACCCTTTTTTTGGGGTGGGGTCACTGGGGAGGGGATTAAGAGGTGGGGAATAGAGGAATCCGAATAGGAACCTCTGACCGCTTCGGCCGGGGCCGAGGCGAATTCCCATAGTTTTCACGTTCCTTAAGGTAATGCAGATTGATATCAACATCAGTATGATTCCCCACAGAACCCAGAGGGCCGGACACCCCAATTTCTAGACTTTGTAGAGTGTACCACGTATGTTTGATGTAGAGTGTACCACGTATGTTTGAGTGTCTAGTCTGTATAGGTATAAATGTAAAGGCATAAAAAATATAGAGGCCTGGGTATATAGGCTATAGATATATCGGTATACAGATATATACATAGGGAGATAGAGAGATGGAGAGATGGATAGATGCAGAGATAGATAGATCGGTATACAGGCATACAGATATGCAGATATACTGATATACAGATATGGATAGAGATCGGTGAGGGATGGATGGATGGCCCGGTGGATATAAACATATATATATATATATATATATATATATATATAGATTTGTGCATATCATAACTACATGTATATATATATATATATACAGATATATGTTTATGTACACATAAAAACAGGCGGAGAGGGGGGAGACAGAGAGAGAGAGAGAGAGAGAGAGAGAAAGAGAGAGAGAGAGAGGCCCCTCAAGCCTGGCGAAAGAAAGAAAGAGAGAGAGAGAGAGAGAGAGAGAGAGAGAGAGAGAGAGAGAGAAAAGGAGGGAGAGGGAGGGGCAGAGAGACACGAACCGGCCACAACATCCCCCTTTCGTCCTTTCATCCCCCCGATGTCGCTTAAGCAACACACTTGGCGAAGCCTTTAAGGTCAGGCCATTGAAATAGGCGCCCGAACACTTAATAAGAATGTTCCCAGAGTTACCGAACAGCGTCAGACCATAAAAGCACTGAGAAACCCCGTCTTCTCATTTAGGCTTTCACGACAGTGACACCCTGAGGGTCCAAGTTCCTTATTTATGGTTTTTGGTCGCTAATAAGCACCCAAAAGCCCTATAATATTGAGCACTTGGACCCTTAGGGACATCTTACGACACCCTGCACAACAACGCTCGGCACCCATATCATGAGAGCACGAGCTTTGCCGCTCGAGGCAGGCGTTTGCCGGCCATGGCTGAGACAAGGTAGGGCGCTTGGCATTCGGGGCTCATCTTGCCCAGAGAGCCCAATACCCCTTAATTAGGGAATATAGCTTAAATGATAATATGAAGCCCTATATAGTTT